AAAAAAAAAAAAAAAAAAAGAGTCCTAATGGCAGGGGAAATTTTATGGCAAAAGGCTGGTTTGTGTTGTTCGCAGATATTACTTGAGAGAGAGAAACTTTCCATGTTCTCCCCTAAGGTGAAACAGTAAAAAAAGAAAAACTGTAAAGTAAGGATAGGAAAGTTGCCAAAAAAGAGGGTGGGGGAGGGAAGAAAACCTATTTTGTTTTCTTGAAGCAGGGTTTTAACTAAGGCTCAAAGCTCTCATTCTGTTGTGCTAGAAGTATGGCACCAAAATCAGATATGAAGAAACGCAAAGTAAAATCGGCCCAGGAAGTTTTACTAGATGGGAGGTGTATTCCTTTTTCTGAAATAACTATCACTATAACCTCTGTTTTCATGAAAGTCTTCTTTGTGATAACAAATTTATCTAACCCCTGCCCAGAAATGAGTTGATGTATGACAGTGGGGGAGTTGCTGCACTTCTGTGCCTCAGTCTCCGAGCTAGTACCACTGGAATGATGATTTTCTTTGAAAAGCATTTTGAAGTCATTCAGCGATTCTTTTTGGTGGGGGGAATCATTGGTGTTATAAATTATTCTCAGAAAACAAGGAGAGCTCCAGATTTGTTTGAGGTATAGGTAAAATAGGACAATATATATATTATATAGTATGTTCCTGCTAAAGATAAAGTGGAATTACCTTAAATTATGATCATGTGTAGAAACCAGAGATTTCCAAGAGAGAGAACCCTTTGTCTCCACTACCAGGTACTCCAGAATTTGGCCATGTTGATCGAGTACGCCTCTTTTTCTTTTCTTGTTCCTTGCGTTTTCCAGGCTTTGCTTTCTTCCTCTTACCAGGTGCCTTCAGGGGCTGCTCCTTGTATGTTTGAGCTTTGTTTGTCTCCTGAGTTAGGTATTTGCCTTCATCTTCACTGCCAAATCGAACTGGGTAGTTCTTTGTGTTGGTAGCAGGCTTAGGGTTAGGAGAAACCTCAGAAGTAGCCCGGATCTCTGCTGTGTTCACTCCCTCAATTAAATTTTGGAGGAACATTCTTCTTCGTAAATCTTGGATAGATCTCCCTTTGTCATGCAGTAGTTGATGCTCTGATACAGCTCTCTTACTAAAATAAAAAGGAAGGAGGGGGAAAAAACACTTATAATTTCATTATTGCCTACTACTTGGCAGAACTTACCTCATCTTTGGCAGTTGTAGCTACAGAGAATGCTGTACCAGCTTTCAAGCTTTTAATATACCTGGCTAAGTCAGAAGGTTGGAACAAACTCCCTGCACAAAGGGGAAGAACCGAAGCTAGTAATATTCTCTGCTGACCCATTACACACATCTGGACCTGTAGATGGATTAGTCAATGCTCTGTTCTAGAACAATGTATCTTAATGGTACAAGGCACTGTAGGCACTAAAACAAGGAAGGTGGTTCCCAAAATTAGGAAAGGAACAGACCTGACAGGAAAAAAGAAATATTTGTAGTGTAGCCTGGAACTCTGTTTATGTGATATCATTTCAGTATCAATTTTTTGCTCTGTTGAAGTGCTTTCTGTAGAAAAATTCAATTTACCCTTGTGGCTCACTAAATGTGATTGCTGGTACTTAATGGAAAAAAGATTTCTTTGACCAAAGTGATCAAGTCTGGATCCCTAAAACTTAGGTGCCAAAATCTACATTCAGATATCTAAACAAGTAGCCTGGCATTCAGAATTTGTGAGCATTTAGCAGCTAACACTGACTGGTTCTCAGCCACTTGTGTAATGATGCTTTTATGCACTGAATTGTTAAGCCCCCAATTTTAAAGTTTTAACATAAAATTCTGTTCTGTACTGCCTGGATCCAGTCTGTGCATTGCACTAGTTCTTTCCTGTGGTCCTTCAATCTTTTTTTTTTCTTCCATGTATTGCTATTCCTTATATTTCCAAAGCTGCTGTATTGTTCATTTTGGTTTGTTAGCCTGTTTGAGGAATTATAAGATGACTTAACTAAAAGCCTTACAAACAGCTTATACTGGCTAACAAGGTAGAGTAATCAGAAACCTTTCAGAAATGGATGATCCAAGAGGTGTCTGGACAATAAATAACCGTGAGAAAACACACTCCTTTCTCTTTGGTGTGGTGGGAAGGATGCACAGCTGCACTGTGAACCACAGAAAGTGCGCAAGCTGGGATTAAAGTTATGTTCCCATGAATGCTATTAACCAGTAATCCTTCCAGCTTGCCTTGCCTTGATGTACTGAGATTGGCTAGCACAAATCAAGTCACATGTAGTATCCTGATTCCATGAGAGAGGATGCATAGCCAAAGAAAATGATTTCTGTGTCTTGCCTGTTTTGTAGTAATTTGATCAGTAGCTGATGATGCACAGTTGTTTCTGAATATAGACAAGGTGGGTGAAGACACACAACTTTTTGAGTGAATAGTCCCACTCCATCAATTACCATGGCAAAGTATGGAGTTTCAAAATGTGGCAGGGTATTACTATATATGAAATGATGAAGAGCGTTCAGCCCCTTCTGAACTGTTTGCCAAATGCAGGGAAGAGATTATGTAATCAGTCATAGAGTTGCACGTACTTTGTTGGCTCCACACAACACAGCTTTATCAGAGGAGAATTTATCATGATTCTGATGTAAAGTGATATATGGGAAACATTTGCTCAAAACTGCATCCAGATTCACTCTAAAGGTTCACAAGACACTATTTTGCTAAGCAGTTTCTGAGTTTCAAGAATTCTGTAACAAGATGTTTCAGAGGACCTCAGGTTTTGGTGCCAGCATTTTTCATATATTTCATAAACATTAGGGGCTGAAGGGACCTCATGAGATCATTGAGTCCAGTGCCACCCCCCTCCCCCCCCCACTGCCATAGGCAGGAAGTCAGCTGGGATCAAGTGATCCCAGCAAGAAAAATATCCAGACGTTTTTTGAAAGAATCCAGAGTAGGTGCTTGCATCACCTCTGGGGGGGAGTCTGTTCCAAACCCTGGACACTCGCACCGTAAAGAACTTTTTTCTTATGCCTAATCTAAATCCACCTTCCTGGAATTTGTGGAGTTTTGTATGCTACTTCCTTCGAAGCAAAAACATAAGAGCATGATACTGAACTGGTGTATATGAGTATGGCTTCATTTCCTTCAGTGGAACCATTTTCATGAACACTAGTTCAGGATCTGGCTCCACAAGACAAAAAATGTAACCAATAATCAGACATTCAGCAATACCTGTTTGAATGCTACTCTAGTCATTCTTATGGCCTTTTTTGGTACCCTAGCCACACTCAATCTGATACTCCAAGCTGTAAACTTTTGCTCCATAACAGTAATCAATAGTCATCTTTAGCTACCTCTTTGATTAGATCAGGCTGACTCATACATATGCTATTAAAACCAGCACCTTGCTCTTCTGAGAGTGGCATACTTTTGTCATGGTTGCCAGTCTATCCATTGTGACTCACACCACATTCCTAATTCCAGTACTGTATTTTCCCAGGATATTTTCATGGGAAATGTAGTTATCGTCCCCCCACCCCCTCCTAGTTTATAAAAAGTATACAAAGTCTTAGTGCTTTACTGTGTTTAAAATAGTATGCTTTATGTGATGAGCAATGCTTTCCTTTTGCTTCTTATAAACTACTGGGGATAATGTGTTTTTTATCACAGAGAACTCAAAGCTGCCTTAATCCTGTAATGTATATTTAGTCAATCTGCCCACTGTTACAAAATCTGGAATCTTAAAAGGCTGTCATTACAGGACTTTTGATTGAAAAGGAATTCTATTTTACATAGCCTTAACCTAGAGCTTTGATTCCAATGCAAACAATACAGTCAAACAGTATTACAGGACCTACATCTTACTTGAATATACATTTTCAAAATAATCCATAGAGTGACATGTGAATGGGTACTGTGCCAGGAGAGGGTGGGTTTCAGTGTAAAGGTCTGTCTGATATTTAGCATGCAAATCTGACCCCAAACAGCATTCTGCTATTCCAGATAATTGTATAACATTATGTAGCGTTACATTTCACGTGACTTTTATTATCCAGCCAGACTTGAAGATTATATTTTGCCTCTTTTTGTGCAGTGAGAAATAAGTCTCCTGACTTGAAAAAGATGTGGTAGATGTAAATTCCTCCCCTCCCCACCCCATCCCACCCCACCCCACCCCATAAAGTCCTTCAAATAAATCCTCTGCTTCTAAGACTTGAAGAAGATTCTTGTAGGAGTCCTTCAGAGAGGCATTCCATAACATAGATATCAACAATGTGATTAAAATACTCCCTTCTCCCAGTCCCACAAAGTATACTGAGTAAGAAAGGGGATGGAAACTGAATTGTATTCTCAGTCTCTGGAATGACTTTATTTGCTCATTCATTGTGTAAGTGAAACTACACAGGAGATTTCTAGTATTAGCATGGAATAAAGTTAAGAACTATTAGGATGTTAGGGTCAAGATGACCCACTAGAGGTCCCTTCCTTCCTTCCTTTTATGAAATATACTTCTCATGAAAAGGAAGAGTTTGCCTCCAGCTCAGTGCAGTACATGTTAAGCTTGCAAGTGGTAGGTAGTTTTGAGAAAGATGGAGATGATGGTTTTTATTTGACTAAATACCAAATTAATTATCTTGTACCAGAATACTACTAGTAGCTATCTACCTTTATATCTCATGGGGAAGGCTCACTTAGGCTCAACGTTATGAATCTCTAACCTGTGAATGTTTGGACATCTAAAGTTACACTGTATTTTGGAAGTCATACTTCTTTTTACATCTGTTCTTTTTAGAAAACTTCCTTTACTTTCTTCCCTTCTTTTCACTCTTTTGTCTGTCTGTAGCAAATATGTTTTTAAAGCATTGGCTTTGTGTCTTGGGTAGTTTTTAACTGCATCATTACCCTAACTGAATATTCATCTTCGAGCTGACCACAAATATCTCAATTTGGAGAAAGATTTCAGTTGGCGTTGGATCTGTCCCACTCAGATCCAAAGCCACTCAGTCCTGCTCAGGATTGGACCCTTAGTTAACATCAACCGGAAAAGTATTTGAAACAGATTTGAAGATGTGATGATGCAAGCAGATAAAAATATCTAATTTCACTCTGAGGCATTACTTGGTTTCTAGAAATTTCTTGAACAGCTAAAGCATTTATATCATATAATAGGCCCTGCAGTCCTTACATGGGCAAACTTCCCACTCGCTTCTATAAGACTTGTCTGAATAAGGTCTGTAGAATAGAGCCTAGATCATTTTTTGATTATTGTGAAAAGCACAGTAATAATGTGATTTCCAATATTGTAGTCTATGACTTGTTTAAATTTTTGCTGGTCATGTCCATGCTTAAGTAAGTTATTAACCATTAAGTCTAGAAACAACTTGTGGTGATATTAAAACAGGATATATGTTTGTGTGTGGTGTTAGTGTTGTACCCACATGAATGCCACTGAGGGACAGCTAAATGTTTTCTTGCGTGCATTTTACATGCCATAGCAAAGAGGGGATCAAGAAACCCTTTTTGACAATTTAGCACCTACTTTACAATTTACCTGCCAGGATGGGATAAGGAGAGAAAAAATCTAATCTCACCACATAACAAGAGTTGAAATGACACACCACTCAACAAGGCAACAGGCATTTTTTACTAAATCCTGAAATTTAAACAGAAATTGGCATTATTCCAATTCACCATTTTTTTTAGCCAAGGAGATGCTGTATTTAATTCTGATTTAGGGATTTTTATTATGTTGTTGTTATTTACATAATCTCAGGCTTGTCTTATTTTCACAGCCAAAGAGAACAAAATGGTTTAATAATAATCATTAAAAAATAGTTCCAAGTGTATATTGCACAGTAGTGCAAAACAGCTAAATGTTAACGGGAAGAGTAGTGTTACCATCATTACAATGTTATACATGATTTGCCTTAGGAGATTTATAATAATTTTGATCTGGTGCCAAAGTTCAGACATGCCTAAAGTAATTTAACTTGGGGTGGGTTTTTTTAATTGGTGGAGGAAGTGAGATATAGAAAGCTTGTCCTTATGTACATTACTTGAGCAGCTGCAAGGAATCCCTCCTGAACTTGAGTCAAGGTATTGTCTGTGAAACAACCCTAAACAAGTCGATAACATTTCCAAACTCTCTCTCCAACCTGCCTGTTTCCTTTGGACTGGGAGAAACACCAAGTCCTACCAGCTGTCCTTAACCCCTTCTTCACTGGGCTGATCCTAGAATATTTTATCCTGAACTAAACTGCTACAGACAGTGAGTAGCATAGCAACATATATAGGCTGTTGATCTGAGGTCATTTCTGTGGGGTTCTTTCCTGCACTCCCCTTACCATTCACTGATATGACCCAGACCAATTGCTTTGGAAGAGGGAAAGGAAGGAAGACCTTTCCTGAGCATAACATCCCAAATCAAGTTGTCATTTGTCTATAAAAATGCTTCTGTCTCTAAGTCAAATAGTTGACTCCAATTGAAGAACTTAGTGCAAAGTGACACAAGTCCAATAACACACCTCCCTCCCCCCCGCCTTTTATAGGTACTTTTTTATTGTAAATCTAACTAGTGAGCCCCTTTATTGACATTTATCTAGCTTGGCTCTGTGCCAATACACCTAAATTGCTGCTCTGGTATATAATGCAAGCTTATTAAGTAAAGCAGGATGCAAGATTAGTTTATCAGAGACACGCAAATACCTCGAGATACTAGAGAACCACCTAGGTGTTGCTCTTCTACATGACACTGAGGCTTCTCAGGCCAACATGCAGTCATACACCCGAGTGTCTTACAGGGTCGGAGAGCCATGCATTATCCTTCATTCCCCGCTTCTTAAACAGTCCTGGTGAGATACCTTGTGCAGGTAACTTTTGAAGCCACCAGCCGGGGTAGGTAGCTCTGCCCTTGGAGAGCTGGGAGCATGCGAAGAGTTATGGGCACATGTGCTGCAGCTGCAGCCCGCTTGCCCTCCCCACTCCCAGCGAAGGAGACACTTACTGCCTGCGGCTGATGCCCTCCACCGATCTTCCGCAGCAAGGCACGGAGTAGCTGAGCAGGAAGACGGCGAAGCTCCACTGCTGCAACAGCCTGGGGAACATGGTCTCCTCCGGCGGGGACCTGCAAGGGAAGCGGGGTCAGCGCTGCCGCCTCCGGCTCCGGCTCCGCGGAGGAGGGCTGGCCCCGGGGCTACCCCAGCCTCGACACGGGGGGAGGGAGAAGAGGGAAGAAGAGGAGAGATGAGAAAAGGAAAAAAAAGGGAAGAAAAGAAAAGGAAAGGGAAGGAGAAAAGAGAAGAAGGACAGAAAAAAGGGAAGGGAAGAGAAAAGAAAAGAAAAGGGGAGAAGAAAAGAAAAGAAAACAGGAAAACCAACTTTTTAGCTCTCGCTTCTTAGAGATCAGCTGCTCCCAAGTTTGCTCAGGCTCCCTCCCGCCCTCCTCCTCTCGCTCTCCAAAAATAATGGGAGGCGATCGCTCTCCTGGTAATGAAAAAAAGGAGCTGGCGGGGCTCCGGATCGGGCTGGGGAGCGTGTTTACATGTCTCCCGTAGCAGCTTGGCCCTGACTCTCTGCCCGGGGGGCGGGGGGGTTGCAGGGCAGGTCCCCCTTCCCAGAGGGGAGAAAAGGGCCCAGAAAGTCGAGCTGGTTTGGCGCTGGGCGGCGCGGATCCCAGGCGGGGGCACCCCGGGGAGAAGCCCAGGTACCTCTCGCGCGGCCGGGCCGCCGCGCAGGTTGTGCCGGCCGGGGCGGAGGCTCCCCCGCCCGGGCGGCGCTGGGCTCGGAAAC